AATCAACTTCTAAAATATAGCCTTTGTCATCATCATCGCTATAACTTAATACTTTCTTCTCATCCATCCTTGAAAAATACCAATTGAAATTATCAAACGGTAGTTTTTTACTCATAGCCAGACCATACAAGTTATTAGCATCTAAATAACTTATATAACTTGATGGTTTTGACTTGTCATATTGTTCATTCATGTATTTATTATTTGCTTCTACTTTTTTATGAGCACATTGAGTCATCCCGCCACGAAGACCTTTTTCAATCATTTCATACATATCTTTATTATGTATTTGTTGAAGTCTAACACCAGTAAGAGATAAGAAGGCAGACCACGAATAATTAGGTAATGTTATGTAATGAGCAGGGTCTAAACCATAATAATTTAAGCACATATCCCTAAAGTTTTCAAAAACATCACTAAGCAAATAAACATCTGTCATCAAATATAAATCATGGTAATAACCTAGGTTTGTGATATTGAAATTATCCCATATTACTTTTGCCCTTGTGTGTTGTGTATCTGTTATGCCTTCTTCATATAATTGACTGTAAAAGTCTTCTATACTTGGTAATTGCGATTCATTGAATTTATCAAATGAATTCATGTAGTCGTAAGGATAAACTCCTTTTTCAGTTAATAAGTCTAAATCGGTTTTATTTCTAATATATGGATTTGCTGATGAAAATCGGAAATTATCCTCCCAGTCATTCCGCTTTTTATATATAGGTTTATCATGTTCATCCTGACCTACTATGTCATATTTATTTAACTTAACTAATTTATCCAAAGATGCAGAGAGAAAAGCCATGCTATCTTTAAACTGTAATGAACCAAATGAAAATGTAATAAACTTTTCGCTATTTTGTGCTATTACATCTATTCTCTTATTTTCGTTCAATTCCTTATTTTTTTCATTTGCTTTGCCTATTATTAAGTGAGAGTCATAGTTTTTTAAATTATGAAAAAAATACTGGTATCTTGAAATATCTAAATGAATAATCCAAATTACATTTTTCGTGAGCACAACCTCTATACTCACCAGTAAAATGACAGTGGTCTCTGACTTTTGTATCTTCTGGTTTAAAATTCTTATTACATATTGAACATACAGTAGCTTTTCTAAATTCTGCTTCTTGTTCATCTGTAATATCCATTGGTTTATTAACATTCATTTTATCAAAAATATCTTTTTTAATTTCTCTTAATTTATTTACAAAGTGGTCTAAACAATCCTCTCCACGGTATAAAAAAGGTTGACTTGTATTATCAATAGAATTTACAACATTCAACATATAACCGCATGGTTTATGTTCCTGATACGTGCCCTTGATGCCATTATTTGAATTTACAGTTATACACTCAAAATCTCCATAAACAACAAATGGACATTTTAATTTTGTATTGTGTTTTTCAAATTCAATATAACTACCTTCTTTTGGTAATTTAAACTGTTGTCCGTGTGTTGCCACACAACCAGTTTCATAATGTTTTGTTAATAAATCCTTTCTAGTAAAAGCGTGAGAACAATAATGACAATAATGTTTTGGTTGGTCATTTTTGTTTGTTTGCCAGTTCATTAGACGACTTAAACTTTTAATAACTACATAATGATTATTATTATTGATTTCAATTTTCAAAAGGTTTATTTGATGTTTAGCATCTCTTGTTTTAGTTCTGTAATCAATTATAATTTTTTCGTCATTCAAAGTATCATCAATTTCATAAACATTGATTGAAACTAACTTACTATTATTTTCTTCAAACCTTTCAATATCTTTATTACCAGTTGGAAATTTAACACCTTCCCAGTTTAAGATATTGTCGTTTAATTTGTTTTAATGGAACATTTCTTGGGAATTTGATTTATTAATTATATCAAACACTACACTTTGAACACTATATTTAAAACATTTGTTATCTTTGTTTTTGATATTAATACATGCCTTTTTTAGTTTAATCCATTCTGGTAAATCTATATAACTACCCGCCCTAGTTGGGTCATATTTGTCATAATGGATTGTTATTGATAATATCTTTATAAATTTTAAATTAGATGCTGAACCTTCTAACTTTTCTATGTTCAATAAAATCTCGTTGATTGATTTTTCAATTGCTTCATCCAAATCGGTTTCATTATAAATGTTTGACCTTGTAGCAGGTAAATTATAAAGTATCTCTGTATGTTTTATTACTCCATCATCATCATAATAATGATAAAATAAACCTTCTGCCCTTATATTCAGTTTCATTGCTCTATTAGTTTTCAAAAAGGTCAAAAGTCCTTCTTTTGGTGGTGTATCATTGATAGTGCCTTTTCACCTTGAAAATGTTTATTTACTAGTTTTATAGAATTAGCATAACTTTTGAAAGCTGATTGTTGGTCTGTTACTTGGAATTTATTTTTGATTGCATATTTTGTCATTGCATTTTTCATTCTTTGTTTTAGGTATGTTGAGCGCAATGTTTTTGTTGCATAACTATTATACTCATTAGTTCTTGC